GGTTTGTCATTTAGTTAAATTTTTCAAAGAAACAGCAGACAGACCTGCAGATGGGGCTGGTAGGCTCCACTTCGTGTGGTATTTTATATGCCTAGCACTAAGGAAGCTCCACGGGAAAGTCCTACCACAAATAATGGGGTCTTGGCACCATCTTCTGCTGCCCGAGGTTGGGATAATGTTGGTGTAAGTAGACCTTAGCCATCTAGACAGATACTAAGCTGACTCACATGTCAGTCTCACAGCCTCAAGGGCCCATGTGTCAGTGATACATGACAAAATACAAGTGTGTCACACTAATGTTCATGTACCTAGAAAATTGCAGTGCTCCCATCTGTGAGCACTGGCCTGCTGTTAGCTGTGGTGCCCAAGGTTTGGGTAGAGTTAGTAGAGATAGTTCCTTGACCACTAAAGCTGATTCTAAGGTGAGTCATAGCTGAACCTCAAAGTTGCCAGGGCTTGTCCAGTCCAGAAAGTTGAGAGAGAGAGTACCCCATTTCTAAACCAATGCTAGAACTGATACAGTGGAAACTTGGGTATCTCTCATAGGTACACAGGTCTACAGCTCGTGTGGGAATGCACCTAAAGGGTATATCTGAGCTCAGGACTGTGCTTAGAGCCTGTAGTTTCTACTCAGTGCTGGCTTTCACCATGGGAGGCTTGGCACGGAACTCTGAGAAAAAGCTCTGTTCAGCTTTCAGGTGGGTAAGTAGAGTCCAGCTATTTAATGTGCCTCCTGAGGCTGGAGGCAGGGTTTTTGGAGTAGTCTATACCTCAGAGCCTAAAGTTCTCACGACTCAGTCCACAGTAGAAGCCTAAAGGTAGAAGCCCTGCACTAGATTTCAGTGTGGCAGGCCTAGATTTAATTCTCTATCCAGGCTAATCTTCCTGGAGTTGGTGAAGGAGTATCTTTTTCTTTTTTTTCATAGCTATTTATTATGTATTTGTAGGGGAAACTTGCTAAATGTTATCTACCAACTGCCAACTTTTTTTAATTTTATTTTTTGAGACAGAGTCTCATTCTGCAGCTTTGGCTGGTCTGAAACTCACTATGGAAATCAGGTTGGCATCAAACTCACAGAGATCTACCTACATCTCACTGATTTCTGAGTGCTGGGATTAAAAATTTGTGCCACCCCACCTGGCTCCAAACATTTTTCTTAATAGTTCCTAGGGTCTTTTCTTTTCTCCATCTCTCCTGAGAACCCAGAATAGTGCCTGGCTCATAGTGGTCATTAACTAAGCATTTTTGAGTATATACTTTAGAATGCTCTTACAGCTCTGGTGCTCTGTAGCCTCGCTAATATGGTATTGGCATGACTTTATATGTTTTCAAATATCAGGTTTTTTTCTGTGGATCTCACTCCTCATCTGACTTGTATTTCACCAAACTATATGACCAAATACTTGTTATATATCTATTAGCTATGTGTTTATTTTCTTTTATAGAAGATTCATCAATCTTATGTTCATTTTCCTCTTGGTTGCCCACCCCTGTTTCTTACAGATATATGAAATTTCATACATTTAGCATTCACACTCTCTAATGATTATATGTGTAGTATCTTATCCAGTAGTTTTTCTGTCTACTTATGCCTTTTATTTTTATTGATTGGATGCCTTGTGTCATGGCATATGTATAGAAATCAGAAGATAACTTGTGGGGAATTAGTTCTCTCCTTCTATATGTGGGTCCCAGGGATTGAACCCAGATCAGCAGGTTTTGTGGCAAGTACCTTTATCCACTGACCCATTTTGTTGGCACACTTATGACACTTTTGATGAACAGGAATTTCTTTTTATTTTAATGCAGCTATATTGGATAATCATTTCCTTGATGAGTATACCTTTTGTACCCTTTAAAAATATATTTTTTAGTTTTTGAAATTAAAATACAATTATATATTTTCCCCCTTCCCTTTCCTCCTTCCAGCCCTTCCTCAGTATTTCCCCTTTGTTCTCTTTCAAATTCATGGCTTCTTTTTCTTGAATCCACCTTTTGTATCTTAAGAGATAAATACTTTTATACATTGCTGATAGAAATACAGAAGAGTACAACTCCTACAGGGTGAAATTTATATGTAAAAATTGCATCAACATTTACTCTTTCTCTTTGTCTCAGCAATTTCACTTCTTAGAATGTATTTGAAACAAATGTTTGAAAAATACCAAATTATATACATGCATATATACATATATATGTATATATGTATACACACACGACTAATTTTCAGGGCATAGTTCAAAATAGCATAAGATATTTTGCTGGATATAAGACAAATATTTCAGTGTTTGTTAGTAGGAACGTATCTGAATAACTATTGTACAATGAAGTATTGTATAAAAGGCAAAAGAATAGTTTTTATATTAATATGGAATAATTTATGGGATATATTATTAAATCTAAAAAAGAAAGTTTTAGACCAGACCAGTATTTATATAGGAGAAAGGTATACCTAATGAACTGTATGTATATATGTATATATAGTTTGAAAAAAAGGAAATACTGGAATTGTATTAAGTCAAACTTAATAAGAAATAGTATTTATGGGAAGGAAGGGAATGAAATGAAGGAAGGGGTCAGGGATGGAATGATACTTCTGTAAAGGTGCTGTATAACCCTTTTTACTTTAGAGCCATATACATGTTTTGCATGATTACAAATGTAATAAAAACTTTAATCAAAAAGGGAAAAGGGCTGGGGGATATACTTCACAGTTGAGTGTTTGTTAAGCGTGTGCTAAGCCCTGAATTCAATCCCCAGGATCACATACACACAAAACTCAAGAAAGAATAAATCCATAAAATTCAAAAACAACCTGAAGCAAATAAAGCAAATGATAAACATAGTTGATAGCATAACCACACAGAGAAAATAATTACTGTAGTGACTTTAAAGTAATACATATCTATCACTAACAATATATACGCTAAGGACTGCAAAAATATAAAAGTATATTCAATCATTTTATTGTTGTTAGCCATATTAGTATTGCTTGTGGAATTTTTCAATTATGTGAATATGTTGTTAGAGAAAGTTAATAAACCACCTTGATAATATTTTTAGGATCTGAGGAACCAGAAATAAAGCTGTGATAGAGTACTTGCCTAGAAGGCAAGCAGCCCTGGGTTTGACCCCCAGGTCTCCCAAAAGCAACCCTCCAAACAAAATAAAATGCACCACCTTTAATCCCAGCACTCGGGAGGCAGAGCCAGGCGGATTTCTGTGAGTTCGAGGCCAGCCTGGGCTACCAAGTGAGTTCCAGGAAAGGCACAAAGCTACACAGAGGAACACTGTCTCGAAAAATAAAAATAAAAATAAAAAATTAAAAAAAAAAAAAAGAAAAGAAATGCAAGTCTAAAACCAGAATTTAAGTATAAACCTTGTCATATTAAATCTGAATTGGAAATGCTCTTATAAATTTAAGATCTATTTTCTACTCTAAAACACCCCAGCTTTGTCTAATGTAAAGGCTGAGAAGTAACAACAATGAACACTCTCAACAACAGTAGTTTCCACGTGCATTTCATTCAAAGGAACCAGGGATCCTCGGAAAAATAGTCCATGGTTAAGTTAGAAAATGTGCAAGATAAGCTTGGGTGTGATTCCCTGCTGTGCCAGGGAATCAGAAAGCAGTATAGGAGCTGCTTTAAGGGACTTTGTATGGGTTCCCAGTGGGACGCTTTGGCCACTACCAGAAATAATCACTATATTTAATTGAAATACATACATTATATAATAACACGTGATTTCATAATTGTACTGCAGATAACCACTGTTCACCATTAGGTATTTCTAAAGTAATAGTTCCTTACTCTCTTAAATAATGAAGAACAGATAGAATCAAGCATTTATCCTGCTTTTCTTATATAAGCTATATTCAGGAAAATAAAAAGTTGATGGTTATAAGAAATAATAGAGTCAAGGAAGCCCCATTTTGTAATTCATAGTAAGTTAATAGAGCTAAACAATAATTACCAATGGATATAAAGCCCATTATATAAAAGGTGAATGGGAGTACATAATAATTGAGGGATGTGACAAGCACCACTTAATTTCACAGATTAATTTCAGCATCACTAAAAGTGTGCCCAGTAAACATTATGTGCTTTGAGGCATGGTACAATAGGAATATACACTTATATGAATTTTTTTCCTTAAATATTGAACATGAATCTAATTAACTCTTTGTAGAAACCATCTTTAATGTAACTTTCTAGAATATTGTAAATGGTCTTTATCTGTTCTGGATAATCTGGTATTTAAGAGCATATATATATATATGTCGGGCATTTGAAATGCACCAAATTTGACCCAAATTGATTTAAAAAAATAAAAAGGTATATACAAGTGACCAATGACAACAGATTAGACTAGATTTAACTGTCAAGAAATACAAGAAATTTTTAACAAGTTATCATCAGAAAACATTTCATTAAATCAATTTGTTTACAAAACAAGTAATGGTTGTATAATATCAATGGGTGGAGGAGAAAAGTTAATGAAGGGATGGGGGATGGGACAGAAAAATGATTTAAAAGTTATAAGAGCTAAAAACTGATTTAGATCTTGATTAAATAACCAAGTATTTAAAAAGTCACTGAAATAATCAAAGTCATTTAAATATAAATTTGGAATTAAGTGATACTTAGGAATTACTAAGTTCATGAATATGAACATGCCATCCTGGTTCTATTCTTCAAATGTCCTTGTGATTTAGAGGTATGTATACTTGTAGGAGCTTGAGGTTTCTGGGTGCCTTACTTTGCCATGTATTGGCATTGCTCAAGATGCAGTTTTAAGTTACATGCACACTCACATGTACATGCATGTGCTTGTGCATGCGTGCAAGCACACACACACACACACTTGCTACATGTTATAAAAAACTTTTCTAAAAGAGGTTCTGTATCTGAGATCCAGAATTTAATTTTTATTAATTTTTAAAAGGTTGTACTGGGGAGGCTTTGTAGAACTTCCATATCTCTTTGTCTTGATCCAGATGAACCCCCAAAGAAGAACAAAGGTGATCCCATGAACAACCTGGAAGGTTTTTACCACGAGACTATAATGAAAAAACGTCTTGAAGAGTTCCAACTTATGAGAGGTGAACCCTTTGCTTCCCACTCACTGGTCTCAGCTACATCAGTGGGTGATAGTGGCACAGCTGAGAACCCATCACTACTCCAGGACAAGGGAAAACAGGCAGCACAGGGTAAAGGCCCCAGTCACCATGTTGCAAAAGTTATTGATTTTCCACCTGAGCAGTATTGGACTGGGCGTAAGAAGCTGACGCAACCAATAGAATTTATCCCTGAAGATGAGATCCAGAGAAGCCGTTTGTCAGAGGAGGAGATCCGAAACATCCCTATGTTTTCTTCATATAACCCAGGGGAACCAAACAAGGTATAGGCCAAATCAAGAACACAACATGGGTTGTTTTCACTTTACTTACCTCTACCTAATGGAGCATTTTAAAATTACCTTTGATTATGCCAAAGATTATGACATAGGTATTCTGTTTGTCCTTTATGTTAAGCATCATTTTCCACATACTATTTAAGTAGCCTATTTCCTACCATGTTATGTGTGCCTTTCTTAGGTTCTAAAGTCCCCTCAAAATTTTTAAATAATGAGATTTAGCGCATACCCACTAGAAGCTCTGAATTATAGGAAAAGTAACCAACAATTTCCTAGTGATTGACCACTTGGTTGCAGGTACCATTAACAGCACAAATCCTTAAAGCATTAATTTTTGTCTAATTTAAGAAGACAGAATTAAAAATAGTAACATTCCCTGATTTAAAAAAAATGGATGGAGGGATATTGTAGTACTTTGACTGACTTTGTTATGTTACTCCTGTTCCAAGGGTAGCTTGACTTTCATTTACTTTTTGTCATGAGCTGTAACTAACATGTCAAAGAATAATTATCCCATGAATAAATTAGGGATATACCTAAAGAATTGCATGTATTTTTCATCAATCCCATTCTTCCTTCTTTTCAGGTTTAACCACTATTTTGAATTTGCTAGTTCTGTTCCCATGGGTAATTTTATGTATTTACTACATAAAACTGTATGCAAGTGTCCCTAACTAATGATAGTTAAATTTACTTTCTTTTACATAATTGCATGAGAAAATGCATTCAGTAGGACCTATACTCTGGATTTTGAATTTTTGTTTTTGTCAAGCTAGCCATATGCATTGTGGTGCTATAGTACTTTAGAGATGCTGGGCAGCCACAGTGACGTACAGCTCACAGTTAGCCATATATGGTGAGGAGAAACCATTGACACTCCAGAGTACTAGGTTTCTAACCTGCAGTGTTCCATAGATTACATATATTAAGTGCATTTCTAACTTAAGATATTTTCAACTTACAAAGGATTTATCAAGATATGACCCTATCTTAACCCAAGGTACATCTTAGATATCCATAAATATTCATAGATATTCATAAGTACAATTTAATACATTTTAAAACTATGTAGATAATGTCATACTCTATATATTTTTCTGTTACTATTTTGACTCAATGTATCCAATATTTTAAAAGTATATTTCTAATGATACAAGGAACTATTTAGTATTCCACTATAGGAATATGCTATAACTCATTTGTCCATTTTCTTGATGATTTATTTTCCCCCATTACTTTACTACTACAGATAAAGCTGTAACAAACATTGTTATGCATATTGTCTTTTTTTTCAGTACTAGAGATTGAAACTAAAACCTTGTGAATACTAGGCAAATTCTCTACCATTGAGCTATATCCATAGACTTCTTTTTCACTTATGTTGAAACAGGATTTCACTACTTGCATTGGCTAACCTTGAACTCACTCTGTAGCCCAAGTAATCATGAACTTGTGATTTCCCTGCCTTGGCCTCTTAAATCATTGAGATTCTAGTCTTAAAACACCAGGCCTGGCTTGTACACATCTCTTTATTACCCATATACAAACATTCCTCCTAGACAATGTTTTTCAAACCTAAGTTACGATTCATAGGTCAGAGCAGCAAGGGTTTATTATTAAGGAAATGAATAGAAGAATAGAATAGAATAGAATAATAGATCAAAGTGTATCCCATACAATTAAGTATGAAGAAGGGTAGTATATGTGGGCTACAGTGTTTAATGCATGCTCCTCCTGTAGATCTCAGGCAAAATATTGAGAAATATATCACTCTTTTGTAATAGTTCTCACATTTTAGTGTACATGAAAAGCAATGGAAGAAGTTACTCAAATATAGATTGCTGGCCTTCAACACCAGGTTTTTGACTTAGTATCTCTGGAAAAGGGTATGAAAATTTGCATTTCCTACATGTTTCCAGAGGAAATGCTGACACTATTGATCTAAGAGTGGAATTTCAAGAATTACTGTTCTAGGTTGCATACCTAGGAATGAAATTACTGATACAGGATATCTGTATCTTCCACTTCTAACATGCAGTATTTCAGAGATTCCCCTCACCTCTTTGCCAAGACTTTATATTAGATTTTTAACTTTACTTAATAGTTTGGAAAGGTAATTTATTTTTTAAATTTCATATTCCTCATTTCCAATAAAGATATACATGTAATTTTACATTTATTAGCCCTTCTTCTACCCCCTGTGAGTTAGCTTTCTATTCTTTTTTCCAATTTGATATTTTTTGCCTTCTGTATTTTTTATAATGATTATTTTTAATTTTTTTTTTTTTTTTTGGTTTTTCGAGACAGGGTTTCTCTGTGTAGCTTTGCGCCTTTCCTGGAACTCGCTTTGGAGACCAGGCTGGCCTCGAACTCACAGAGATCCGCCTGGCTCTGCCTCCCGAGTGCTGGGATTAAAGGCGTGCGCCACCACCGCCCGGCTATTTTTAATTTTTTAAAGATTTATTTTTATTGTGTGTGTCACATGTATAAGAACAAGAACAAGAAGAGAATTATTTAGATTACTAATTTCTGAGTATTTATTGAAATTAATGGCAGACTACTAGCCATACATCCAGAAATCACAGAGAACATTAAGACAATGAATACCAAAAACTACATCTAAGCATAACATATTCAAACTATAGAAAGGCAAGGAAAAGAAAAAAAAGGAATACTTTATATAGGATCAAAGAGAATTACATCAGACTTATCACAAGGCAACACAAGCAAGAAGAGAATGGAATGAAATATTTATGTTTGAAAAAAAGAAATATTTATGTTTAAAGAGAAAAAAATCCCACCCACCCAGAAGTCTATCCAGAAAACATCCTTTCAATAAAGAGGAAACAGAGTAACAGTTCTCAGATGAACAAGGATGTAGAGAATTTGTCACAATAAAATTATTCTTCTAAGACTAGGAAAATTAGATAGCTTAATAATTCAGATCTATGTCAAGGAAGAACATAGAGGAAAGAAAACACGAAAATAAAATAAAATGATTTTCTCGCTCTGTAAAAAAGAAGCAGAGGGAATACATTTTGTGAAATGAAACTTAGCTTATTACAGAAACCAGTTAAAAATATTACAGTAAAAGAAAATTACAACCTCCTGTCTTGGGCATAGAAGCAAAAGTCCTAAATCAAAACATTTTGAGTATCATAATGAAATCTATTATTATATATAATTAATATATGCGGATGAAACCATTAATATGTTTTCTTCAAATATTTTTAGTTATAACTCAAAATATTAGAAAATAGAATTCATTAATGTGTGAAAATAATTACAAATCATTATCAACAAACATCCAAAGGTGGTTCAACATTTGAAAATCAGTGTAGATTTCATTGATTCCATATCTGTAACCTAAATAAGAAAAATCATGTGCTTATTTCATGTGATGCAGAAAAGATATTTGAAAAAAATTCCTTAACGTCCATTCATGTTTTAAAACTCAGTGAACCAGGGAAAAAAGGAGAACATCCTCCAGTTAGTGAAGAATAGCTACAACACATCATCAGCTACATCATACCTGGTAGAAAGAAACTAGATACTTTGCTCTTTGGTCCAGAACAAAATAAGAATATCTTCTTTACCCACTCATATTGACAGTATACTGGAAGTATATAAGAAAAGGGAAGGAAATTGAAAGTTCATGGATTAGGAAGAGAAAAAAATAATATTGTTCACAGGTAATTTTGTCAAAAATCCCAAATAATCAACCAGAAATCAAGGAAACTGCAACTATTAAGTAAGTATAGTTTGTATCATACAAACCTTATGCATAAAAATGTTTTCAACAACTGAGTAATAGTCCATTGTGTAAATGTACCACATTTTCTTTATCCTTTCCTTGGCTGAAGGACATCTAGGTTGTTTCCAGGTTCTGGCTTTTATTACAAATAATGCTGCTATGAACATAGTTCAGCAAGTGTCCTTATGGTATGGTATGATTGAGCATCCTTTGGGTATATGCCCAAAAATGGTATAGCTGGGTCTTGGGGTAGATTGATTTCCAGTTTTCTGAGAAACCACTACACTGACTTCCAAAGTGGCTGTACAAGTTTACATTCCCACGAGCATTGGAGGAGTGTTCCCCTTGCTCCACATTCTCTCCAGCATGAGCTCTCACTTGTGTTTTTAATCTTGGGCATTCTGGAATCTCAGAGTCATTTTGATATGCATTTCCCTGATGAATAAGGATGTTGAACATTTCTTTAAGTGTTTCTTGGCCATTTGAGATTCCTTTGTTGAGAATTCTCTGTTTAGCTCTCTACTCCATTTTTAATTAGATTATTTGGGGTTTTTTTTATGTCTAGTTTCTTGAATTCTTTATATATTTTGGAGATCAGCCCTCTGTCAGATGTGAGGTTGGTGAAGATCTTTTCCCATTCTGGAGGCTGCTGTTTTGTCCCACTCCTCATACTAGGTCACCTTGCCCAGCCTTAATAAATGGGGATTTGGGTAGTCTTACTGCAACTTGCTATGTCATGTTTTGTTGATATCCATGGGAGACCTGCCCTTTCCTGAACAGAAACAGAGGAGGAGTGGATTGGCTGGTGGGAACAGGGATGGGGGAGGAGGAAGGACTGGGAGGAGAGGTGGATGGGGAAGCTGCAGCTGGGATGTAAAATAAATTAATTAATTAATTAAAGAAAAAAGTCAGTTTTCTACCTGTATACAGGAAATAAGGAATTCAAAATTTTAGTTTAAAAAATTTAGTATCACAAAAGAAAGATAAATTATTTAGATATAAATTTAACAAAACATATTGGGATCTATGTGCTGGAAATTTGAAAGTCTTTAAAAAGGTATGTAAAATCAGAGATAGTTTGCATTTATATATTGAAAATCTAATATTGTTACAATGTCATTTTTTTCCAAATTGGTCTGTAGAGTCCACACAATCACAACAAAATTCTGGCAAGCTATTTGTGGATATTAACAAATTGATTCTAAGTTATATGGAAAGAGAAAAGGTCGAG